CCCCCCCCCCCCCCCCCCCCCCCCCCCCCCCCCCCCCGACACGCCCAAGAACTCTAGGTCGCTGTCATAGTCCAGCAGCTCCACATCGCTGTCGCTTTCCTCTCCATCGGCAGGAGGTAGCAGACGTCCTTGAACCTCCTTATCTGCAGCCATGATGGGGTTGGTGCCGATCGACTCGTCGTCGGGTAACTGGTAGCTGGAGCGGGGGCAGCGAAACGCCGGGGTGTGCTTTCTCCCACTCGGCGCGCTGCTTCTGGAGCAGCTCGCGGTAACCCTCACCCAAGTTTTGCATGCACCAGGCGTGGTCCTCGCTACCGTCGAGCGCAAGCGTTAGCCCGCAGATTATGAAGCAAGTCTTGACCGTGTCGGGGGAGATTGCTGCCCACGCCTCCTTGCACCACGTAGACACCATCCCACGGCCCGGAGGGTTCAGCTTGCCCGTAGTGGGGTCGGCAACCGCGGTCCAGCAGCTGGAGGACAGGAGTCAACCCGCCCGGGATCAGGATGACGCTGGTGTTGCACCTCTTCCCGAGGTCGTCGATGAAGGCCTTGTCACGGTGGCACTTAAAGTCGTCCAACACCAAGATGCTCGGGCGCTGCTTGATGCTTTCGTGGTTCGGGCAAAGCCTCCAGCTCTCCGAGATCCAAAGGCTGCCCTCCGGCGCGTCACACCAGCTGTTCTCCTGCACACCAAACGACATGCCCCCCACAGGGTGCCCGAACTTGGTACGATTCCCAGGGGCAACCTCTGCCGAGATGGCCCCTTCCGCGGCTGAGTTCTCTTGCCCTTCCCCCGCAGGTCCGGCGGGATGAACGGCGTGCCCTTAAAGATGATGCGTAGCGGGACCTTCTTGCCGTCCGCCATGACAGCAAGACAGAGAGTGAATCGCTCCTTCTCCTTGCCTACGGGGGATTCGACACAAAAAGAGGGCGAGAAACAAAAATTGAGCTCAAATTTTAGGAACGAGTACCGGAAAAAGAAAAAGAAAAAAAAAGGGGAGAGATATGAAAAACATATATAGTACTTCGATTGCCTATATACCTAGGTATATAAATATGCCTATATACCGAGGTATATATACTTCGAAGTATACGTGAGAATAAGGCTGCGCTACCGGGACTCGAAGCCGCATGTGAAAGCTCGAAGGTGATCATTATGAATTTTGTGTACGGCTGCCGCTGTTACTGCTGCTGCTGCCACAACGCGATTTTTTATATTTTTCTGTGATGTCTGCCATTTTGGGCACCGTATGTTGTATGCCTCCGCATCGTCAACATAATCAACAAACGGGCTGGTGCGAACCTGCTTATTCTTCAGTATAAACCCACAAACACGCAGCTGCAAGACTCTCACCTCCTGTGCTGATGCGAGCATCCTTCGCGCCGCGGATCTCCAGAGTTGCCTCCACCGGCATCTCCCGCTGGACGGGTGTCTGATCCATGTTGCCGAGTTCTTGGAAAACCTCCTCCATCACCGACTCGAGCTGCTCGGAACTCAGCTCCTCCCCGTCCAAGGGGAGCTCATGAGAAGCACACGGGTTTCGCTCAGCGAAGATTTGGCCAGCGCGCCCCCGGAGCGCCGTCCGAAGCTTCTGCAGTGTGCCCCACTTCATTCCCTCGTGCCCATTGGGTAGCTTTTGGCCCACGCTGGTACGCCGGCGGGTGCTGTACCCGCGCCGCGCACGAAAACGCTTGTACCAGCTGTTGAACTTGTCCCTGAACTGCTCAGCCTCTTCCGTCTTGGCAGTGGCGCCTAGACCCCCGAGGGCATCAGGCTTGATCTCCAGCAGCTTGTTCATGACCTCCGCGTTGTCACAGCCGCGGTGCGCATACGCTGCTCGTTGATGTAGTCCTCCAAGGCTCGGTCGACATCCACGGTCGAAGCTGCAACCCCAACGTTGAGCGACTTGGCTTACGACAGCGTGGGTTTGGCCTGGATCAAGCCCTTGAGCTTTCCCTCTTCCTTCACCCATGCAATGATGCGTTTCTTGGCTATCCCTTGAACTTTTGCCGCTCCAGTGTTTCCTAACGGCTTGCCGTCCTCGCAGAGGGCTCTCGTGAATTCCGCCGCCTTCACCTTGAACGCGTTGCTGTAGCTTCCTCTGCCTCCTACCGCCCCAGACCTGTCCACTGCGAAGCCAGGCTCCGGGTACTTGCGTTTCTTGGAGCGTTCGACGTCTTCATCATTAGCCGCTAACAGCTCGTCGATGGCTCCTCCTGTTGCCAACGGGTCCGCCGCCGAAGCTGAAGGAGCTGCTGCAGGAGCTGCTGCAAGAGCTGCTGCAGGAGCTGCTGCAGCAGCATCAGCAGCACCAGCACCAGCAGTACTGCCACTGGTCTGTGAGGAAGCAGTACCTGGACATTCTGACATGGCACGATTACTGGCTGTGTGTGTGCGCTCGCACTGGCATCGTCTAGATTTTTTTTTGTTCGCGCTATTTCGCCGCCTTCTTTGCGGCTCAGATATGCGTGTGTGTGCAGAAGACCGTGTGCGTGCGTGGGTGCCTGCACTGGTACCACATGGCAGCGGTCGGGGAGATGGCACTGGGGTGCGTGCAAACAACACCTGTGTGAAATATATCGGGGGTCGCACCGGTCGGAGAGATCGCACCGGGGTGCAACACCTGTTGTGTGTATTTATTTCATCGGGGATCGCACCGTTCTAAGAGATCGCACCGGGGTGCCTTGAAAACTCCAAACGAAACGATGTGATTGCATTTCCGCACCGGGGTCGGAGAGATGGCACCGGGGTGCGATAAAAAACCTGGGGAAAAAACATTTAGAAAAACATCGCACCCGGTGCCAACTCTCCGACTAATACGCTAGTACCAAACTTGCCGCATCCCATCCAACAGCGTGTTTTCGTTCCACTGGCTCGATCGCGCCTTGCACACTTTCAGGATTTGATGGATCGACGACAGAAAACCTCTGTGTCGAGCCAGGGCTGAACCTTCTTGGATTGTCTCTTGCATACGATAATACGCGGCCTGAACCGTAGCACATACTAGTGTGCACGTAGATCCAGTCCACGCTTTTCTCTCTCGCAGGGCCACCCCACGTTGACGTGTGGTGGCGAAGGGTGTGCCAGAATTGTGTCCATATTTCTCATGTGTACATTTTTCCGGTGCTATCGCGTGATGGCATCTTCGCAAACGACGCCGTGCTCCCCGCGGCGTGCTCGCGTGGGTTTGTGTCTTCGCATACCATGCTCTACACAGCGGCCGACAGCAAGTCAAAATAGTGTGTAGCAATGCAATACACGCTTTCAAACCACGATGGCAAACTTCCAAACCACGTTGGAGTACACCATCAATCTTATTCATGACAGCACCTGATTCGTGGCGTCGTCGAGAATGACCTTGATGGCGCCGCTGGCCACGAGCAGCTGCCTAACTTCCGCCTTGCACGTCATGCTCCTCATTGCGGACGCGCAGTTCCGCCTCACAACGGGGCAATCCGTCTTGGCGAGGTCGATCAAAGCGGGGATGACCCCCTCGTCGGCCAGCTGAACGTGGTTTCCCTGCACCGCATCGTGCCCCACAGGCAGACGGCGTCGGCTCAGGAAGCTTACGGTGAAACTGCAGACTGATTCCAGATTGTTTTCGAAGCATCTTCTACACGCGTGATGCGTTTGTCGGGAACTTTGTATGCCGGGCGTCAACAGCTCTGTAATGATGTTAGCGTCTGCCTGAAGAGCCAGAAACGTCCTTCGAGAAAGTCTTGCAATTTCTCCCACACGGCCCAGACGTCGTCGTCCTGTAAATCAAGCTCGACTACAGCAACACCGATGCTTGCAGTAGTTCACAGGAAGGATGAGAGGCACGCCTTCGCAAACCTACCAGCGCTCACCTTGCCGAGAGCCGGTAGCACATGACAAGCCATGTTTGTTTCAACGCGTGATGCGACAAAAAATGCTTGGGAGCAGAGAATAAACATCGCCTCTGCAATTATGTACCCATATCTCCTTGTGTCGAGGCTAAGTTAAGCAGCCCCGATCATTTCCGCCGAATTTTTTGTTAGGAGAGAATTGGCACAATAGACAGACGCCCTGAGATTCGCACTTGAGGGACCGGGGGGGCATCGGGGTTGGGCGAGTGTTGCAGGACTACCCTGCAGCACACCGAACAGCCTCTCGTCCTCCTGCTCTCTCCTCACTCACTCCCTCATGCACTCACCGACACACACAGGATGTTTCTGAAAGCTGCACTCGCTCGTTTCCTCACTCCTGCATCGTTGAGCGGATCGATGTTCTTCACCAGCTCCACCAGCAGCTGCCCGGCGCCATGTCGAACCATCTTGGCCGTATTGACCTGACAAAACGTTTTTTCGGGTTCATTGCGCTTTGTGACTTTGTCGACCGTCCCAGCCGCAGAAAACGGGGCTGCAGCCTGCTCTCTTGATAAAGTTTTTTTCAAAGAAAAGTTCGGCAAGCAGATCGCTGGTCGGAATGTACCGGTTCCTTACACCCCCGACTCAAACAAGAGGGGGGTCGTAAAAACGCCCGCCCGCGCGGACACATGATGACCATACTGATCATCTTCTGGGCGTGCGTGCGGATTGACTCGAAGGTTCGAAACCTGCAAGTGTCTGAGGCGGCTAAATAACGCTTCCTAGTGCGTTGGCATATTGTGGATGCCTCTATCCCTATCCCGACATCCATCTGCAATTGAGCGAGGAAGCGAGGCGATCTGTACTTGTGCAACCTTTCTCTTTCGCCGCCGCTTGGTATTTGCCCATCCGGGTGTCCGTGCACCCCCACGAGCTATGAATTGGCTGAAATGGTATGAGCTGGTTCACCTTCCCCACGGCGAGGTTACACGCAACGAGAGAGCAGCTGCGCCGGACTTGCGGGCTAGCCCCCTCCCATAGGGCAAAAGCCAACCGGATCCCCCCCTTCAGGACCAGTTCTGTCTTGACCTCATCCTGCAGCAGAGAATTGGTTCAACCGCGGTGAGACAAACAAAGTGAGAAACGGAGCTACGTGGCGAATGGTTTGGCGTGAGGAGGGGGATACGCAGGGGAGCATGCCCGAAGTCAGAGCAGAGCTTTCTCGGGCCACCAACGAGTCTGCTGATCGTTCGTGAGAGATTATCAACACATTTAACATATGCACAATGCTCTGTTTTTTCCAAACTTCGCAGATGTTGAATGCGCAAGTGACTCAGGCAAGCTCACTCTCTTGTAGTAGGCCTACACAAAGCATCTGTTCCCCCCAGAATCAGCACTCGTTGGGCGCAACACCAACCGGTCATGTAAGAGTCAAAGCGAACACGATATCGTTGTCGACCATGCCTACCGCGACCAGCCCTTGGAAAGAGCATGCTTCGAAGATGCCGAAACAGTCAATTAGCTCCCCCGCCCTCCCCCTCCCCTCTCTGATACCCCACCGCTGTGAATGTTTCTGCTTCCAGCAACGCGGCGAAGTCGCCACCCCCACCCCATCCGCCACCCAGGGCATCCTCTGATTGGCCGTGGAAATGAACGCCATGGAAACATTCACAACGCCGGTGGGATGGGTCGATATATTGAAGAACGCCGGTGGGACCTCGGTACCTGGGTCGACATATTAAAGAGCAGTGCGGCGCACGTCGCTTTTGCCCCGTCGAGTGATTCCTTTCGGCCCTCACCGACCCTGCTCCCCGCTCCACCGCCCTGTCCTCCCTCGACCGCTCCGCCCTCATCCTCCTGGCTACCGAGCTCAAGCACGACGGCTATGACTTTCATACCGTCGTGCTCTAGCACCAGGCTCGCCACGAGTTCCGGGGAGCAGGACACGCAGTACATGAAGTACGCCAGCCTAGACATGATGCGACCGCTCATGGCGCACAGCGCGGTGAAGTTGTTGACGCAGCCCGAATGGAGCACGGCGGAGCGGGTGGCCGGGTCGAGCGCAAACCGTTCCAGCGCGCAACAGAAGGAATAACTCAGGGCTGCGTGTTTACCGTGGCGTTCGGAGCGGTGGGGGAGGGAAGGGCGTTCCCATGTTGTGCATGATATTGCGGTTGAACGATTGAACAGGCGGCGGTGTTGTTCACTCTGTAAACACTGTGCCACCAGCGACGTCCGACGACCTTCAGGAGGAAAAAAGTTGGAAGGTAAAGCAAAGAAACGTGTTTGACTGTGCTCCAAGCCCCCGATTCTGTTGGACATTCGGGGGGCGCATTCTGTGAGGCGTCAAACACGTCTCTCGATGCCCATGCGATGGGCACCAGTTTGGCTTATTGCAGACACACGATAACTGTTTTCTTCTGTCTTCACTACCATTATTGAGCGCACCATAAGATAGGGAGGAGGAGGAGAAGAGGAAAAATCAGGGCATGATATGAATTTCCGTCAACCAGGGCGAGATGGGGGTGGTATAGCAGATTGGTACAGTGGTAGAGCAGCCCCGCGATCTTGCATGCATACACTACCTGGTCCCCCATGCAGCGCCTCCACTTTCATACACCACATACGTGCCCATCATACTTTGCTATGCGTTCTACTTGCTGAAGCTGCGTTTGAGGCAAATGGTTATTTAGATATAGGGAAAAAAAAGAAGCGCTTCATTTAGGCATGGGGCTACAGCCCCATCTTGCCACACTCACGCTCGTCGCTGTCGAAGTCGCCAACGTTGACGCGCTCTACAATTCTGTAGAGCATGGCCGTCTGCCTTGCCACCGAGGCCGTGGACACCAGGTTCGTGAGCCTCACGCCCACCAGGCGGATCTCCTTGGACTCGTGCATCAACGCCCGGCGTGCGATGGGTACCTGTGTCGGTTTACAGTCGGTATGCAGAGGACAGACCAGCATGCGCGAGAAGTGCGGCAGGTTGCTGCCCATTGCCATTGCTGCTGTTGTAGGCTCGAGGCTTGCCGCGAAGGAAATTGGAACAACCAGGACAACACGGTGGTGCGGTGGCCTACGACACTCGATCGACAAGCGTATTGGTCGACTTGTTGCCCGGACAGTGAAACGGGTGGACAGCAGGGGGAAATTTAGGGTATCCGGAGGGGTCTGGTGGCGCGTTCGCAAGACGTGGCTTGTCTCGGTGGAGTGTACACCGGAAGCGCGCACCGTGCCGGAGAAGATGTGGCCGACCCCCTCCAGGTGCTGCGCGCGCAACAGCACATTATGTAGCGCCTTCATCCCCGCGGACATCACAGCCGCGTCGGACGAGCGCGCTAAACCGTACACGGCCTGCACGAAGACGACGACGACAGTGGCGATGGCATTTGGACGGGTACGTAGCATTGTGGTGATGAAGGGCAGGGTCACAAAAGAATGTCGGTTTGAGGGCAATTAACTTGACCAGTGGCGAACTGGTATGGCTACCGCTTGTGCTGAGAAATGTTTTTGGCCTTCTTGATGGTTACGCAGCTTCCCTGAGTTCAAGCAACGGGCTCTTACTCCTTGTTGGAATTTTTTCGAAGCGTACCCTGGTTCGTTTTTGCTTGTAAGAATACTGCTTGCTTTCGAGGTCCAACGATTCATTCGGAAATCATGTCTTCACTTGGACATAGAACGCTCTTTCTTTCGGGCATCTCACGTCCTACCTTACGTCGGATTGGCGTGTTAGACCACGGAACATAGTCTCGATTTTCCTTGAAGATGCAACGAGAGCTGTAAGCGGAGAGGTATCCGACGTGAAACACACCCCAACACCAACAGTTCCATCTGGGCGAAACCTAGTCTACGCGTCGAATTTCCCTCTCTGGTCTCGGGTTGTTTGCAGGACACGCGAGCGCTGTTCTGCAGCGATGTACCTGCATGCAGTTGGACATGGTGATTTCCTTCCAGTACTCGCAGCTCAGGTTACACAGTGCCACTGAGCACAGCTTCGCGATGGTAACGTCTTTCGACCTGCTCATAGCTGCCAACCCCCACACCACGCCATCCTTGAACATCCCACGATGCGCCTGTTCAAGGCCGGGGGGAGTAAGATCGGAAGGTGAACCTACTCATGGCTCTTTTTGCCATCATCATTGGTCGACATCCATTAACATGCCTTCGGGAACGTTGGGCCCCCTGTCGGGACGTACCGATGCCCCGCCCCAACGCCCTATTCTTCTCTAAAAAACTGCAGATTGTGAAGTCTAGCCCGTCGACTTAGTACCGCGAAGCTTGAAGAAAGTGCCACGGGCTGCTACAGGAGCCTCGAACCTGTAGAGTGATCTTATCCCGGAGCGGGAACACAAAGGTTGGCGCGTAAAACACGGTGCAGAACTCTGTACACCCGTTTTTTCAGTGCAGGGGTCGAGCGCAACAACACCATCCTTTTATCTTCACGCATGCACTAGAGTACTACACATCGCTGCATGAATATCGTCGACGTGCGGCCATCGCACAGGGTTCCATTCTTTTTTATTATACGCTCGATTCCTCCAGAACGAAGAGGCTCCAGTCAGTGCTGAAAATGATGGTTCTGGACCGATCTCGTCCAGAGAGAGCTTTGCTTTCACGTGTTGGTCGCGTTTCACGCTCTCTTGGTTAAGGGGCATTCGGGCCTTAGAAGTTGATCGCACCCCGTTTCTGCGTTCGCCCACACTCTTTCAAAGTACAGAGTGGTTTATTACGCAAATTCATTGCTCTCTCGCAAAAGTACAGGCTTATTCCATTCACACACAAACTCACTCTCTATCGCATCTTCGGCGGGGCAATACGTTGTTTCGGTATTCGTGTACGTACCTGCTTCTCACACAGCAGGTTCGTCAACGCCTTCGTGCAGGCGTGCCTCGTCTCGTCGCTATCGGAAGCCACGAGTGCCGTGATTAGCAGCACCGACACGGCGCCGCACTTGGTGATCTCAATCTCGCGCCCGTGGTCGTAGGCCAAGTTGAGGAGAGTGTTCGCGCAGCCCTGGATACGGCCCCACGGATTAGTCGAGGGTACGCGTGGCGTATGGGATTTGTCACAGTGCCAAAACTGTAGCTTGTTTGCTGTGAAAACACACAAGTTGTTCACTCGAAAAATAATGCCGAGAGCTGTCGGGGTGGGAGGCGGTTCATAGCGGGGACCACCGATGGTCTCAAGAGTAATATGAAATATGAAAATGTAAAACGATAGTGTCTAATTTCAACGGGGACACGTGTGGTGGTTTACCAACGTCCCCACTGCAATAGCGAAAGTGAACTGTGGGTGGGCATATGCAGAAACAGCCTCCAGCCATTTTTTTCGATGAAACATTGCGGGTATCGAAATCGATTGTGAAACTTCGGGAAGCTCAGAGCAGAGTGCTGATGCCTCTCCCCAGCAATAGAGCAGCTTAATAAGGATTCGATGGAATAGCTCCGTGTTTGTCGCTGCACAGCGAACTGGCGGAGAACAAGCTAACCTTTCGCATCTCTTCGTTCGGCTTGCTGATGAGACGAATCAGAGATTCTGGCGCCCCTTCCTCGAGCAGGAGCTCTCGGCCTCTTTCGCAACAGGAGATGCGGTACACGGCGATCACCACGCGCTGTTGTGTGTCCCGGTGCTCCATCTTAGACATGTCTAGGAGTGTCCTCACGAAGGACTTGGTCATGATCTGGTGGGTGTAGTGGTTGCAGTGTTTGCGCTGTAAAACAGGGATCGAGGAAATGGCTTTCTCCAACTGGTCAATGGGTTTTGAAACGGTGCCGCAGAGTGGGAGGGGCAAACATTTCATATCCTTGGCAGCATGCTTGCTGAAAAGAGGTGTATACTAGCACGCCTCAACAAGCAAGCTATGTCGTACTTGTCGACGTGGGTCGGCATGAAACTGACCGCAGCCATCCGTCACAAGCCGAGCATTTGCTTTTAGTCGAGCTGCACACACAGCAAACACACGAGAGCCATCGGCTGACCTCTTCAGGCATGGCCCTCCCAAGCAGCATGCGCTGCAGGATCGACATGCACTGCGTCTTGGTCTCAAACGATCCGGACTTCGCCAATACGATGATAGGTGGCACCGCCCCGGACACGATCATCGCCTGTGAGGGAAAGATCATGAAGATGAAGGGGGAAATCCAATGAACCACGGCAGCGATGCGCGGAGTTGTACCGTTCACGAACCGTGCGCAAGTGTATCCAACATGTCATGTGAACCGGGTATATCCAGGAGGCCAACACAGTCAGCGGTGCAAGTAGCCTGAAAGGGACGCGAACTCGACGCTAGCAGCCTGGACTGTTTGATAATTAAGAAACATCTGCTAGTCAAATCAAGGAAACGTGTACATCATCCACTCTTCTGCATACGGAAGGGAAGCTTTGAAATGCTCCACCAGGGAGATAGCACACCCGGGACATGGAAACGCTCGTGTTTGCGATATATCCTCATACAAGACGCCGCGGTGCATCTTCGGGTACTGAGTCAGGGAATACGGAAGGTGTGGGGAAGCTACACGGACTGAATGCTTGTTCTAACCTGGCAGTTCTCCTGGTTTCTGGCGAGATTGTACAAAGCGGCGGCGCAGTCTGCCTGGAGCGCTTTGTCCGACTCAGTCTGCAGTAGCCCCTGGAGAATGTGACATTAGGGACCAGGGCTTATTTGGTGAAAAACGGAAACAAAACTACGGAGGCGGGCATGCACTGTAAGTTCTACCTTCTTCATATCGATGCACGTGTTTCAACAATCAAAGTAATGCTGTCGGTTGCATATTCGAACCACACTCACACTATAACATACTCCTCTTACCAAAAGCATCGGGATGCTCTCCGCGGCGCTGCCACCACTGTGCGCCACCTGCTCCACATTTGTCATGTTCCAGATAGCCGCCACGCAACGCTTTCTGACGCTCGTCGTGCCCACTCGACAGAGGTCCATCAGCGCGCGGATAACCTGCCCATGAATATCGACGGCAGAGGGCAGGCGGAATGAGGGAACACATGAAAAATTGTGTGTGTGTCTGTGTCTTTATTGTTTGCATCGACCGCGCAAACCGGCTGACCAATGAAAAGACGCTAGTCTTAGTGCGGTTGAAAAGTGTGTGTATGTGTCTTTTTTATTGTATGTGTGTGTGTGATTTCGTCCCATCTGTTCTGGCGCCATCAGTTTTCACACCCTTTCCGTGTTAACGTTGGACGTGTCAGCAGGAGTCGCGCAGGAGGAAGGCCGCAAGAAGTTTGTGCCCCACCTCCTGCGAGAAGGGCGCAACTGCCCCAGTCCTTCGTCGACCGTGCATAGGTGGTGTGAATAATCCCGAACTAGTCGTTTTCGATTGCAGTTTTCGAGTTTTTGTTCTCCCCTTCTGTGAGACAATGGAACGCCAATCTGCTCCATATGTCTTGTACTACACGGTAGGTTTACGAGGAGAACGACTAGACCACCGGGGCGACAATTGCCCGGAGGAAACGATCTCATTCACGCATTATGTTCTCGCTAGCTCTTCCCCCGTAGCTGCGTCTCATGGTTGATCGCTGTCGTCAAACAACGCAGTATTTTATATTGACGGCGCGCTTGACCACGGCGACATCACAGGCCAAGACAATCAAATTCGCGTCCCGTCGCTTCTCTTCGGAGGTGTGACTGCAACACCCATGCTAGGGCGTTCGGCATCCTCTCCACCATGCTCGTGAACACTGCCTAGATGTTCTCGGCGCAACGGACGGGAAATATATGTTGGTTACGCGATTCCGAGTGGAGTCGTGTGGTCTTCGCGTTTTTCATCCGTTCGTACCCTTCAATCTGATAAGTCTCGGCCGACACCCCCCGCCCAGCCAATAACACCTCGTAAGCCGGATGCCCAAGCCAAAAAAGTACACGTTACTAGTTCATCTGCACCCCTCTTGTCCCTGTTGATCACCTCCCGCCCGTCAATGAGCGCCAACACCGCCGGATGGCAGAAGAACAAGTAGAGCGCGGCCGCGCAACACTCTGACGTGGCCTCATCGCCGGGATCCGCCAGTCGGACGAGAGCTGACACAACCCCGCACTCGATCAGGTAGTCCAGGCGGATAGCAAAGCGTATCAGGTTGCAAAGAGACTGTGCGCAGCTTCGTTGCCCGTCGCATCGGATTTTTTCGGTGGGGTTGTTCGGTGAAGGATCGTCGTTTTAGGGTGAAGGTTTGGCAGCGTTCGCAGGGACGACACGCAAGAAGGAGGGATAAGAGTAGTGCCACGACAGGGNGGGGGGGGGGGGGGGGGGGGGGGGGGGGGGGGGGGGGGGGGGGGGGGCAGGATTGGTGGCGTATGCTAGTGCGCCGCCGATCGGAGAACATTGATTATCTAGGCAGGCGGCTAGTTGTTCGATCTTGAGAATGGGATGTGGGATCGAGAAGAAGGCTAAGGGTTTGTTCGGGAGGTCCTGGATAGCGAAAAACGATTCGCGCACCGTACATGCGTGCATTGAGATGGTCAGTACCCGGGCTGCGACCCATTGCCGTCGATGCCCCTCATGTCGATACCGCACCTTAGGCGGCAGGGGGAATCAGTGGACCTCGTGAGGGAGATGAGGGCATCCACCGCTCCGCCGTCGACGATTATCTCGGCGAATTTGCGATCCGACGAGAGCACCCGAAAGGCCAGCGCGATGCATCTGTCTCGACGGCAAATGTGGCAGTACCAGTGCATGGTCAAACTTTCGTTTCGGCGTTTAGAGGTCTAAACAATGGCATGTATGTAGTGATTGCGCAAACCCTTTGGCAGGAGGAGTGGGGATGTCTAGCGAGGGAGGGGTGCCCGTGAAGGAACTACCGAAGACATATTCCGCGCTGTACGCACCTGGCGAACCCCTCTACTATTCCCGTTACCAAACGATAGCCCATACATGTGATGCGACAGGGATAGTTCAGGTCGTGTATGGGTATCCTATGTATACGAAACGAACAGCTCCGACGGTTACGGGTTGCTCTTCTCTCCCACTTTACAGCCCCCCCTCTCCCTCACTCCCCCCCCCCGGTGTTTGCCATCGGGGTTGGGTTTTCGTCGCTTGGCAACGACGTTGTAAAACAACCCCCCTCATCGGTGTTTGCCCCCATCGGTGTTTGCCCCCCCCGGTGTTTGCCATCGGGGTTGGGTTTTCGTCGCTTGGCAACGACGTTGTAAAACAACCCCCCTCATCGGTGTTTGCCCCCATCGGTGTTT